ATTTCAGCCTCCTAGACTCCGTGATTCTTGACATATTAATTTACCCGTAAAAAACTTTCACGGGGCCGTACGAGTTACCCGCGGGTACGGGGAGGCTATTTGCCGTGTCACTCGTTGGGGAGGGGAGGGGACACTATACCAAAATTTCAGCCGCCTAGTTTTTGTGGTCCCCGAGTTGAAAGTGCGGGACAAAATGTGGGACACACGTACGCAAAGATAACCCCGTGACAATATGCGTTTTGTAACGCTGTTACACAGCACAAAACGCATAACAAGAGCAAAACTGCTATCAAAATATCAAATTACTTTGTCTTCCTAAAATACTCGTTGTTCAGTTTATGCCAGGCAATTTGTAGTGGAGCATAGGTTGTTCGGGCATTCATTCGACGATGGCTGGTTTCCACAAAAAGCAAAACATTCCATACTGCATCGACCGCCTGCATAAAAATTTCCATAACAGTGCACTAGGGAAGAGAGTGAAGAAAGTAAAATACTGAAGTACTTTCGGTGAATTGGAAAAAAAAGCTAAACAATCGGCAATTTTAGGCTTTCTAATGAATGCTTATGAAAATTTCATCCGGCCGCCTTTTCACAAAGTGCCGGACGAGCTGAGTCAACTGTTGGTGGACTTGGCGTTACCTTTTTTAGTAAAATGTGTCCCAATGCCCTTTTCGCAACTTCTACAGCTCGAAAGTTCAATGACTATCATTTCTGCCCTGCATCTTACCTGGCAGCTGTCCAGCGCTCCTACTAACACGAACGAAGCCAGCAGAAACAGAACAACTATGTTGGACGAATAACGGCAAATTAAGTACAAATTAAAAAAAAAAACCCTAACAATTCTGTACTATTACATTGATGCCACATGCGAGCGGCCTTTATTGTATTAGTTGTGAATAAAATGTGTTGCTGAACTATGCAAAATCTACGTATAATGAGCTAAAAAACGGAAAATCTCAAAAATGCGAGGAGTAAAGCGACAAAAATAACAAGAAATTTTAAAAAGGAAGTAAAAATTACGGGGCAAACTTCTCCATTTGCATCGTCCACCGTAAAATTATCCAAAGAATCTTGCAGCATGTAAACTAGTTCCGTGATATAACCAATTATCGTTGACGGAAACATATGACTTCGTTTCTTTTCTGGAAAAATCAAAAAACTTCAGAAATAAGAATTTATGCGTTTTAGCTTACAGTCTTTCCAAAAATCTCTGCAACTAATCATATGTGGATACCGTGTATCCGTGGATGACAACACTGAGACAAAAACCGAACACTCGTACCTCTCGTAAGTGTTACGAGCATATGGTGCCTAAAGCCCTAGAGATAGTTCAGGAAAGTAAAAACCAGACATGCGGACAAAAAAACCTATCAAAATATGTGACTTCCTCGTAAAGTATGTAAAGATCCAGGAATATAAGAATGTTTTTGGCTTAAAATATCAAAACAAGTAGTATGATTGAAGACTGGAAGGTTCC